GTCGGGCAGTAAATAAAGTGTTCCTTTAAAAACCTGTTACGGCTTAAAGAAGAACAATATCTACAAAACATGCCAAGGTTTTACAAAAAGGAGACATACAATTTACTTGATAGAAAGCTTCATATTTCGAAAGTCCAGATGCTTGGATTTCACGTTGTGTACCTATCCGTAAGTATTCCTAATATCCTTCACTATGAACATATTGAACAGGAGCGAGAAGCTGTACAAACCGCATTTTCCAGCTTTTGTATGATCCCTGATGATCCCCGGCGCTGTTCTTTAAAGTCATTTTTCTTCCTCCGAAGTTAACATAAAACTTCCAAAGTTGTGTAGATTATCTAAGCCAACAGTGCTAAGTATGTTGCTGATAAGAACAAATGATGTTTTGAAGTCATGAAATTTTCGATGATCCACAGGTCGAAATTTGGGGTATATCGAAAAATCGATTTTTCAAAAATTCATTTGTTCTCATCAACAACATGCTTAGCACTGTTGTGTTAGATGTTCAGTATAACTTTGGAAGGTTTTCGTTAACTTTGGAGAAAGAAAAATGACTTTGAAGAATAGATGTTCGTTGCCCAGGGATCATCAGGGGATCCTACAAAAAGCTGGGAAATGCGGCTTGTACAGTTTCTCGCTTCTGCTCAATATTTTTATAGTGAAGAATGGTGGGAGTACTTACGGACAGGTAGACAGCGTGAAATCCAGATACCCGGAGCTTCAGGATATCAAGCTTTCTTCTGAAGCTGCAATCCCCTCCCCAGCGGAAATGTTAGTGCATGCGGCCCTAAGAATACATTAATTTGAATGAAAATTTTATCAAGATAAAAATACACATATAAAATGTTAAACAATAATCAGATTGATAAGAAGGTTTTCAAAACTGATAACCAGCCACAATGGCCCGTTACAAACCTCATCACACATACCGCCACAGGATTCTTTACCCCGTACTTACAATACGCTGGTTTTGCCAGTATTTTTCTTCCTTTTATTAATATCTTATATATTACAATATCTCCTTCTTCTTCCGCTCTATATCATATTATTCATTTTATATTGAAAAAAAAGCTCCCTAAATCAACCTTTTATATATTCCTAGATAAGAGGGCCTGCCCTCTTCAAAAAAAAAAACAGGGACTCTTTTGATGGGGTCAGTACAAGTGGATAGCCGGCACGGAGTGGTAGCACCCATGCCTCCGAAAGAGTGAATTCTATGCCTCAACTGCCTGACATAGGCTGAAAACCTACAGTTATGCTTACCTAGGCTTGTATTATAGAACTACATATGCAAGAACGGCATTGCTTTGAGAAAATCAGGGAAATTTTCGTTTTTTCAGTTTCTAGTCAAGGAAAAAATACGGCAATCGCACATATGGATATCAGATATCGATAGTGTTGATGTGAGCGAGTGGGAGGTCCGTAGAAATTATTTGGACGAAGACCTGATTTTTTTCGTTTTTTTGGGCTGGAAATCTTTAGATTTTGAGTTCGAACTCTCCGTGGATCAAGCATGGCGCAAAGACATGACTGCCCTCTTGTAGAGCTTGCTTTGCTCTATCGAACAGTACCCCTTATCTTTTGTTGGGCTGAGTCTGGTTGCTTTGTTAAAGCAAGCAAATAAAAACCGACATTATTTTCTTAACAACCTAATACTATCAACAGTCCTTTGTCACATAAAGCCAATCATCCGTACTTCAGCCTTAAAATACTAAAAAGAAGAACGAGAAAAAGCAAAAGAAGAAAAGAAGAATAGTCAGAGGAGTAGATTTTACAGAAATTCAAAGAAAAATAAATGAGACAAACGAGAGTATAAAGTTATATAGATACATAAACAACATAAAAAATTCTTTAATAAATACACTAATCAAACTATGCTATAATACGAATATTCTAAGAGAAATTAATGAAAATAACAGGCATTTGCTTATTGCAATTTTATGTAAATTTCAATTCAAATCTACTAACACAACCAAACATTTCGATAAAAACTCAGTAATTCTTGAAGTCAATTACATCTATGAAATTATTGAAAAATAAGTCTCAACGGATTTATCAATTGCCAGGACATAAAAACTTTGATTGGTACTAATACCAGTTTATCACTCAAAACTTTTTATATTATCTATAACTATCGCAAACCTTTTTCAAAGTTACTTTTCAATTATAATAATGTTCTTAGAGATTTAAACAAAGAAAGATTAACAATGATAGTCAACTCCGAATGTGTATGTAAACAATTAGAATAACAAAAATATGTAGACGCATACCATAAACATATTGTTACTGGTGACATCTCCATAGTTAAAAACCAAATACTTATAGGCATCCTTAGCAAAGGTACCAAATACAGACAATCGGTAAATATTAAGAAAAGTGATGTTCTCACATGGATAGAACAAACCATTCAACATTGCATACAAAAAAATCAAAATATATACAAGGTAAATTCTTATGTTTTGAAGAACATACAATTCATTTTGAATAGTAAAATACATAAAGCTCTTGAACCTTGCTTACATTCACTAAATAAACATGAATACTTATATTCTAAAGATGTAATTAACGAATTGAAAAACAAATTCATAATATGCCCTATAGATAAAGCTAGCAATAATTATAGTTTCATTTGCAAGAAATATTATCTTAGCTAATGAAAGAAATGGGAATAACTGTCAAAAATACTAACGTATCGATTAATAACATAATAGAAGGGAATTATAAGAACGTTGTTAATTTAACTCAACAAGAAGTAATCAACAAACACTCTCAGTTGTGTAAATTGTTCGAATTGAAGCAAATCGAAGATGCCACTATTCCAGTTATATATTGCATACCTAAACTTCACAAAAATCCGTTGAAATTTAGATTTATAACCGGAGCTTACAGTAGTAGTACGAAGCCAGTTTCCTTAGAACTTAGGAAGATTCTCATCTTTATACAAACACACTTTAAAAATTACATAAACTCTATAAAAGTTAAAAATAAAGCCTGCATTGGATATTGGGCTATTGTATAAACATTAGTCATACACTACACCACATACAGCTCACTGATATGAAACTTCTTTCTGCCGACTTTACTGATATGTTCACCAATTTACGGCATGACATCATCACAAAAAACATAATAGAAAACCTTAAATTATGTTTCAAAAATTCAAATAAAAAACACATAGCGTTTAATGGTATAAAATATTTTATTGTTATAAAAGAAAACAAGCTAAATGCAGATATTATGATATCAACGATTTGTTATATCTCATAGATTACATACTAGTCAACAGTTATTGCAAATTTTTTAATAATATTTATGTACAAACAAAAGGAGTTATCCAAGATGGAAATGCTAGTCCCCTTTTAGCAGACTTAACCCTTTCATATTTCGAGTACAAATTTTCGAAAAATAATATGATAGGTAGACACTTCTTTTCGTTTAGGTACATGGATGATATACTAGTCATACACAATAAACGAAATTCAGACATTATTGATATTATTTGTTGTGTCCTCCACGTCGGACACGTCGATTCTTCGTCCTGAGGAGCACACGGAAAATACCAGAATATTTATTAGAAAATAATAGAGCAGCCAAAAATAAAAGATGCAGATGAGTGAACAGACGAACTGACAATGGCTAGCAGCGAGCTCCTTTTATAGCGCTCATTTCCCGCGCATTGAGGTCGCAGGCGCCTCAGCGAGGGCAGATCATACGAGAAAACAACTGATTAGACACTAACACAACACCTCCCCCAGTAGGGTAGTTAATACAAAACTAGCCTACGACAAAAGCTTGAACTACAAATATGAACGTTTAAGAAATTGGTCATACATATACATCACTATCATTTGAACAACTAATATAACTAAAGAAACAAACATACAATAACGTACTATGAACTAGGTTGGAACCGCTGTACCGGTCTTCTCGTTCTGCTCGACCTCCGAAGCGTTGTCGGGGGCGTGGAGGGATCGTGGCTGGATGTCGACGTCGATGTCGTTGAATCCATGGGTGCTGGCGCATCGCTTTCGATCGCTTGCTCGGAACTCCCTTCAGCAGCATTGCCATTCCTATGTAAGGTCTCGTCCTCGGTTAGAACATCTAACAATATCTTCAGAGCTTCAGATTGTTGTTTGAGTTGCTGTTGAATGGCAAGTTGTTCGCTGTTGCTTCTATGCCGAAGCTGATTTGCGTGCTTCTTGCAGACTTCATTTCCAACCATTACTTTATAGTTGACGCGTCCAATACGTCTCATCACCGTTCCTTTCATCCAATGGAAGTGGGGTGGCTTCCATTGCTTGGCGTATACCAGGTCACCAACTTCAAAATCTTTTCGAACGACTCCATGCTTCTGGTCGAATTGATCCTTCATGCGCTCACGTCTTCTTCGTGCGAGTGGGTCTTCTGCATCTTCTGTCATCGGTAGTAACAGACTTAACCTTGTGCGCAAGTTTCTGCCTAAGAACAATTCAGCTGGCGTCTTATCGTTCAAATTCGTGTTTGGTGTTGTCCTATACGCTTGTAACACCACATTCAAAGTCTCTTCTGTTGGCCTCTCCTCCCCCTCTAGTTTCTTGATTCCGCGTTTCAGCGTGTCAACGAAACGCTCTGCCTGTCCATTCGATTGAGGGTGGTACGGAGCAGTCCTTATATGCGTGATTCCACCTTCGTCACACATCTTCTTAAACAAGTCCGACGTGAACTGTGTACCGTTGTCGCTCACTATTGTTTGCGGTAATCCATACTTCGCAAACAAGTTCTTCAAAGCCTTCACCGTCTTCGCAGCCGAGATATTGGTCATCTCGATCATTTCAGGCCATTTGCTGTACGCATCTATCACGACCAAGTAAAAGACTCCTTGTATAGGTCCAGCGAAGTCGATGTGTATCCTCTGCCACACTCGAGTCGCGGATGGCCATGCTTCTAATGGTACCTTCGTCGGATTTTTGGCTAACTCCTGACATTTCGTGCAACTTCGTACCAAGTCTTCGCAATCTTTGTCAATATTCGGCCAGTAGACGTAACTTCGAGCTAATTTCTTCATCCTTACAATCCCTGGATGACCACTATGTAGTTCTTTCAGAACATTTCTTCGAAGTTCCTTGGGTATCACAACCCTTTCGGCTGACATCAGACATTGCTCCACGATTGACAATGTCTCTCTTCGATTTCGAAAATGTGCCAATTCTCCATTCACTTCTGGCCACTCTCCTTTCTTCACGTAGGTCAGTACTCTTTTCAGCACTGGATCCTTCTTCGTATAGGCCTGCACATCTGATACCGTCACTGGCAATTTCCTTATGCAGTTCTTCAACATGAAGTTCACGTCGTTCTCAACGGCAGCTATCACGACGTCTTCTTCGTTATTCTGACTCTTCTTCATCAACCGTGACAAGCCATCTGCTTGTCCAAACTTCGTAGTCTTGACATACTCTATGTCAAAGTCATATCCAAGCAGTATTGTAGCCCATCTCATAAGTCGGTTAGCGGAGTAGACTGGAACTCCTTTCTTATCACCGAAGATGGCTAACAGTGGTTGATGGTCCGTCAGTAGTAAAAACTTTCGTCCGAATACGTACTTGTGGAATTTCTTGACAGCAAAGACAATTCCCAATGCTTCCTTTTCGATCTGCGAATAGTTCTTCTCTGCTTTCGTGAGAGATCTCGATGCATGTGCGATTGGCTTTTCGGATCCATCGGCATACCTATGCGATATCACACAACCGATACCATAGTCACTAGCGTCCGCTGCCACGACTATCTTCTGCCTTGGATCATAGTGAGCAAGGTTTAGCTCACTCGACAAAGTCTTCTTGAGCTTTTCGAACGCTTCTTGATTTGTTCGTGTCCATTCCCACTTCGCATCTTTCTTGAGCATCGCGTCCAATGGCCCACGAAGATCTTTGATCTTTGGCATGAACGCCGCATAGTACGTTATCATGCCAAGAAAAGCTCTCAGTTGACTAACATTCTTCAACTCATCCATATTTCTGATCGCTTCGATCTTTTCTAGATTCGGCCTTCGTCCATTTCGATCTACTATGAAGCCAAGATATCGTATCTCTGGCTTGCCAAAAGAACACTTCTCTAAGCGAATCCTGAATCCATAATCGGCTATCCTTGCAAAAACAGCAAGTAGATTTTCCATGTGTTCTTCTTCGGTTCTTCCACAAACCAAAATGTCGTCTAGGTAAGTTGCTACCCCTCGCAGACCATTTACCATTTTGTTCATGATTTGCTGGAAGTTCCCTGGCGCTGTCTTTATTCCAAACGGCAGTCTATTGTATTGGTACAATCCTCTATGCGTGTTTATCACAACCATTTTCTTCGCTTCTTCTGATAACTCGATCTGCAGATAGGCGTCCGACAGATCTATCTGCGAAAACACTGTACCTCCATTGAGGGATGCGAATATATCCTCCGGCAATGGCAAGGGATAATCATACGACTCCAACGCTTTGTTGAGTCCAGTTGAGAAATCAGCACACACTCGCAATTTTCCATTCGCCTTCCTGACGCATACGATAGGAGCTGCCCACTCGCTGTGTGTCACTGGACTTATGACCTTCAGCTCCAATAGTCTATCCAACTCCTTTTCGACAGCTTCGAGCGCAGCATGGGGGACAGGCCTGCAAGCCTTGAACACTGGGCGAACTTTTTCGTCAATTCTCATGTGTGCTTTCTCCTTCGTACAAAGCCCTAAGCCCTCCTTGCAGACTTCTGGATAGGCTTCCTTTAGCTTCAGAGCGATGTCCTCGGTTTGCTCTGTCTTCACTTCAGCAACCATTCTGCTTAAGTGATAGGACATATCTTCGTTATCCTGGATCCACTCCAATCCTAGCAGTGAGTTGTGGGGCGTTACGTATGCGTAGCCTTCACTTCTGGATCCTTTGATCTCGTAGTCGCACCATAGCTTCCCATGAACCTTCATGGAGCCTCCACTGGCATTCTTGACGACCACGTTCGTGTTCTCCAGCCGAGGAGCGCCCATGCTTCTCCAGGTTGATTCGTTCAACAATGTGATGTCCGATCCAGTATCTAACAGGAAGCTGACTGGATAACTATTCACTTTTGCTTCGATATACATGCGTGTCGAGTTGACTTCCATTATCGCGTTCGCAATTTTCGCAACACTACGCACATGACGTTTTGGTTTCGTCCAACTTCTGTTCTTACTGGTGTCGCTGCTTCTGTGGATTCTTCGTTTTGAGTCGTGCTGAGCTGCTTTTCTCTCCGCCGCTTGTTCGCAGAACTTCTCCGTATGACCTGTCTTTTTGCATCTCTTGCAAAACCAAAGCTTCGCTTTGCATTCTCTGGCAAAGTGAGCTTTACCACAGTTCCAACATTCCAGCTTCGTGGGTTCTTCCTTGCTTGTTGCTTCAACAATCTTCGGCAAACCAGCTACAGTCTCGCTATCCTTCTTGAGACTGAGGAAGTTTTCGCACTCCAGGTACAACTCCTGTAACGACAGTTTTCGTCCAGCCTTGTACTCCCTGTCCAGTACGGTTATGAGTCGCTGCCTAATCTCCGCTTCTTTTTGGCTCTTCAGGCCAAATATCCACAACAGGCACTTGATTCCATCGCTGTCCAGTTCATGGATCTTCGCCTTTTCGCACGATTCGTTCACTCGGCCGGTATACAGGAGATAATCTTCGGAATCCGCCTTCTCCAGCTTCAAGCACTGGTACCGCATTGTAAATTCGGAGATCTTCACGTCGAATAGTTGCTTTAGCGTTTCGACGGTTTCTTCGAATTCAATCGCAGTCACTTCTTTCGGTAGCACATGCCTCTGATATTTTTCGAAACAATCCTTGTCGAGCTTTTCGCAGAGAAGCCTCACCCTGGCACTCTCCGGCAGCTGCTTTGAATCTTCGACGAAGACTTCCTTGTAGCGCGCGTACCATTTACTGAAGCATTCGTCCGCTTCTGGGTCAAAGTAGAATTTTTCGATCCGGTTGCTCAGCGCGGACATCATGTTCGGAACTTCCGACGACGTATTGGGCTGTCCAGTACCTGCGATGTGCTTCAGAAAGGTCTCCATCATTTCTTGCCTCTCTTCTCTCATCAATTCCCTGAGGCTCTTCTGGTCTTCTCTGATCAGTTCCTTAAACATGATCATCAAATCCTCTGTGCTTACTTTCGCCATTTGTGACCACCAGCTTTTCGAGATTTCGGCTCCCTGCAGCTTCTTCGAGGTCCCTGGCGTGCTTCTTCGTTACGGCTACTTCTTCGCTAGTAGCCGCTGCCTCCTGATCGCCACTGTTGTGTCCTCCACGTCGGACACGTCGATTCTTCGTCCTGAGGAGCACACGGAAAATACCAGAATATTTATTAGAAAATAATAGAGCAGCCAAAAATAAAAGATGCAGATGAGTGAACAGACGAACTGACAATGGCTAGCAGCGAGCGCCTTTTATAGCGCTCATTTCCCGCGCATTGAGGTCGCAGGCGCCTCAGCGAGGGCAGATCATACGAGAAAACGACTGATTAGACACTAACACAACATTATTAAAGAAGTTTATGGTGATTCTTTGAATTTTGAAACTACCCATCCTAATCTATACAGTTGCTGCTACTTAGACCTTGAAATACATCTATCAAATAACAAAATTTACACCAAGCTATACAATAAAACCGATAGTTTTCAGAATAAGGTTATTCGACTCCCTCATATATCGTTCTGTATCTCCATAAATATCAAAAATGCAACGATATATACAGAAATTCTTAGAATTGCTCGTACATGTTCCTTATTAAAGGACTTTAAACAAAGGATTATTATGCGAAAAGAACAGCTACGCGATAATGGATATAGTGTAGGTATCATCTTGAGTGCTATGTTCAAATGTATACATAAAAATAAATTCGTAGTTACCAAGTATTGTTACGCTGACACAGATACTGAAATATTAAATATGGTTAAATCCATTTTTCAACTTTGCTATGAATTTTTTCTATTTAGCACTGCATAACTCTGTCGTATAGGTGCGCTCTAACCAACATGCCCTAATCATAATCAACAACGACTCTCATAGCGCGCTAATTTTTGGTTCAAGATTGACTTATAACATATCTTTTGTCTAATCTAGTCCTCTTCTTATTATATCACTTTCTTTTCCCTTTTCTCTGTTACTTGCCTACTATAGATAAGCCAACTCATATTTACGATAACTGAATAGAATGTTTGTGGATTACTAAATCACATAATACTACTTGGATTAATCTTTACTAGTTCTTTCCTTTCTCTTCTTCTTTCTCCCTTCTTTTCTTTTCCTTTTTCATTCTTACGATCTTCCTTCACTACTGATGAGTTCCGGGAAGATCGTATTTCTACCTTTTTCCGTATAGTGATAAGGAACGAAACGGAAATTAGGTATTTCTTTGATTTTTGTTATTGCATATCTCAGACAATTCACCGGAACCTCCGCAGGACAGGCAGGATTTGCAGCGATTCCGCAGCACTTTCTTAACCACTGAGAAAGTGCATGCTCCAAAATGGGAGGTTTCCGCAGGAAATTGACGTCAGAGCGATCATAAACCGGAACTTCCGCGGACTTTCCATAAAGCGCTGCGAAAATCCAATGAGGCTCGTAAGATTTCCGCAGCAATTTGACCTGCCAGCATTTCCGCAGGATTTTGGAGTCCAGGCACCTGCGATTGCGAAATAGCAAACGCATCTTTAGCAATCAAGAGCGCATAGCGCATTACTCTTTTCTTTCATATTGTTTCGCTTCTGTTCCTCTCCTTTTCTTTCTTTTTTTTTTGTTTGTTTCTTTGATGTTGGCGTAAGTAAACCTATACCTATCCATGTTCTAATTGTAAGTATTCTTGCAGGCATCGGTGCAGGTGTGTGAACAACCATCACCAAGGTGCTGGAGTGCTGGGAAAGGGTTCAACGAAAGGACTTCATTTATGCACAACGCTCTTGCTCAGGCATGTCGAACTTCTTTGCTTTCTTTGCTTTGATCAAAATGATAACGTAAGTAATTTGAATCTATTACTTTTTAGAAAATATATTAGGTTGTCCCATAATTGTTTACCGTTTCAATCCTAAACATCAGTATTTCTCGAAAACTGGGGCACCTTCAAAATTTTCAAATACATGATCATACTCCCGTATGTATGAGCTATGTGACTACCTGTGTGGGAGGAGCTCAGGACTTCTAGAGGCGGAGAAAATTGTATGATTGCATGTTCGATGTGTCGAGCACATGCTAGGTTGAATAAGGAATTTTTTAGAACTTTTGGGGCGGAGATACGATTTTTGACAGTGAAATTCGTTTTTGACTACTATCACATTTCAGCTCAAAACTTTACGTGGATATTACGATTTGTGCAGACTCCTGATAGCCATCTTTTAGAGCCTGCCTTGCCCTATCGAACGGTTAATCAAGCGGCATCAATTGGAGGAAAGATACAAAAAGACGACCGTCGAAGTAAAAACGGTAAATAATTATGGGACAACCTAATATACTGGACCTAAACAAAGCAGAAGTAATTTGGTGGAAATATGCCAAGACAAAGGGGGAGGGGGGAAAGAATAACGGGTTACAAGAATTTTTGAAAGTGATCTACGAGCTCTTGGTGAAAAATGAAATATTCTCAAAAATTTCCAGGACTCAAAGTATTACGTGGGACCAAAAGTTTTTTCGCCAGTTTTTCAAAAAATCATAAGTTCCATTCGACTCGGTGGATCTCTTTAAATTCATATTCCCCCAGAAGAGGAACTCATTTTCTTTACAGCAATACTTTTGTCATGAATTGGCATTGAAAGAAAGTTTGAATATTAGCAGCAATTGAAGAAAATCACTCAATATTGGCATTCTTCTTGCAGAGTCACAAAAAATTACGAAAATATTTCTGGTCGATAAAGAAAATCATGCTCTTTACTGTAGTGCCTTTTAATTAAAACGAAAAAGGTCGAGAATTAGAGGCGAACAAATAAAATTACTTCAGTCATTCAATATTTGATCATGCTCAAAAAAGCCCAAAAACGTCACAGAAAAGACAGGAAGTCATAAACATGGGCTTTGTAACCTTCTCTTTTTAGTGAAAGAAATTCGAATCGGGAGCGATTTTGATTTTCGTAATATTTCCGAGTTTTCGGGTCTGATTTTTTACGAAAATCAAAGTTGCTTTCGATTGGCACGAATCTTCAGTTGAATATAAAGTTACAGAATCCATGTCTCTTGACTTTCGCGTCTTTTCTGTGACGTTTTTGGGCTTTTTTGAGCATGATTAAAAGTTGCAAAACTGAAGTAATTCTCTTTATTTCTTCTAAATCTTAATCTTTTATGTTTTGATTCGTGGAAAAGGCACAATAGCAAAGAGCATAATTTTCTCTATTGAAAAATACTTTCGAACACTTGAAAAACCTTGCTGTGCCGTACAGGCCTTCCATCGACGGCACCGAAACGTTAGGCTGATACGAATAAATATACCATCCCAACAAGCCTGTACGGCACAGCAAGATTGAAAAGTATCAACAATACCCAGATTCAAGCAAAAGGAACTTGAAAATTACCAAAAATACTTTCAGAATTTTTTGATGACCTGTTTGAAACCATTGAGTAATTTTCTTTGTTTACTTCTAACTCGGTTTTTTATGCTAATCCATGGCAGAGGTACTGTTGTGAAGAGAATGGTTTCCTTTTTAGGAGAACATAAATTTGAGGGCAAATAAAATCGAATGCATACAAAAAGCTTTTGATGTTCTAAATGCATTTCTCTCTCCCAAATAATTCCCACATCTTCAACCGATCCGCACATGTTTATTTTCGGAAAGAGTTCGTGCTTTTCCCAATAGTACCTATCTGAAGTATCGTCGTTTTCCTGCGATAGATGGGGCGTGTCGTCTGCAAAGTCCGTAGACGTGCGTATTTCGTACGGTATTAGCCATGGCGTGGTATCTATATACATGCCACGTCTAAATACTTTTTAAATCTTCATCATATAACATTAGTTTTCGCACTCTCTAACTGCCCAAAACTGTCACTCGCATAGTTGGCAACGTTGGCAAAGCCACGCCGGCTAGCACCGTACGAAACACGCACATCTACGGACTTTGCAGACGACACGCCCCATCTATCGCGGGGAGACAACGATACCTCTTAATGGAAGCAAGCAAGAGATAGAGTTAGAGAAAAAAGTGCTCCATTATCAAACTTTCTGTGCTTGGTGGTGAAAAAAAAACTGAAACTCGAACCGAAATCGGAGCAGTCGGAATTATAAATAGGTTTTATAGCCTGCTCTTTCTGACTGTGCTAAGTTTGCGTTGATTTGGCCTCTCTATAAAAAGTTATAATTTTGCCAAAAAAAGAAAATGCCAAATCATATTCACTGTTTTTTGCTTCATCGAAAATCATAACTTTTTGAGAGACATTTAATCAGCGCAATCTTCGTACACTCAAAAAGAGCAGGTGATAATAGCTATAATACCGATTGCTCCGATTTTCTGCAAGCAGATTTTTTGCGACCAAATACGTGGAATTTTGAAATGGAGTAATTTTTGTCACCGACTTTGATCTCTGGAGCTTAGTTCTATCAAAAGGTGCATCAGATACCAAAAAGAGCATCACTTCTTCCTTAAGATAATATGTGCAGATGGGATGCGAAATAAGAAAGTTTCGAAATTCTGAAAAGGGTGGGAACGAACACTTTTGGTTCATTAGTATAATTTTCTAAGTAATGATTTATAAAAATTCAACAATTATTTATTATAACTTACACATATCTGCCTCAGAGTCTGACACATACCTGTTTTTTTTTTGGAAATTGCTGGAATATTATTTTAAACCGAAAGTTTTGCCGCTCCAAATTTGAGAATTCCGAAAAAGTTGAAATAGAGCCTTGATTTTTTGCAGAAAACTCTTGAAATTTCCAAAAGTATTAGAGATTTTTTTGTTGAGATTTCAAAAATTCCGATGGTTTTGAATAAATAGTACAAACTTCCTCCGTATTTCTTAGCGAAGAAGTTGCAAAATAGAACGTTCGCGGCAAGGCACGGTTTACACCAAAATTTCAATTAATTCTCATTGCAGAAAGGAAAGGAGGCCGAAGTCTTCAGTCGCGCGGACAAGGTCAAAATGACACCCGATAAATGGAAACGGTATAACTCCCCACAGGACCATCTCTCCCTTGAAGCGC